AGTATCAGACATTAAAAAAAAAAAAAAAAAAAATTAGCATCTCCTCTCCCCTTTCTTCTTCTGTCCTTCCAATTCTGACAAAGCTTTTGTCCTTACAAGGTAATTGAGGTAAATTTTCACATGTTAATTTCACCATGGAAAAGCTCTAGCTTTGGATAGTTGGTAAACTGAACCTTAACTAACTTCTCAAAAAAACAAAAACAAAAAAAGAATTCCCATTTCGTCGTCCAGCAGTAACAATTGTCCTTTTGATTGGTACCAGAGCCGTCCTTTGGTTGGACATTAATGCAACATTACCTATTGATAATCGTTAACTTTATTTCTTCTTAAAATTGGTTGAATTATGAAATAATTCGACATGTGTATTTAGGAAATAGTTAATAGTTTCTTCAAATTGAGTTCTTTCTCGATATATCTATTCAATTTAATTAATTTTGAATTTATAACAAATATATAGTGTATTATTTTTTTGATGTATATACTAGATACATCATGATTTATAACAGAAAATCCATCAACTAAAAGGCGTACGATAAAGTTCCGAGAGAGGTTTTGTGGAGATGTTTGGAGGCTAGAGGTGTACCTGTTGTCTACGTTAGGTTGATTAAGGACATGTAGGATGGAGTAAAGACCTGAGTGAGGACGGTGGGCGGGGACTCGGACCATTTTCTGGTCATGATGGGGTTACATCAGGGGTCAGCATTCAGCCCATTTTTGTTTGCTGTGACGATGGACGTGCTGGCGCGCCGCATCCAAGGGGAGGTGCCGTGGTGCATGATATTTGCAGATGATATTGTATTGATTGACGAAATGCAAGACAATGTCAACGCGCAATTAGAGGTATGGAGGCAGACTCTGGAATCTAAATGTTTCAACTTGAGCAGGACTAAAACTGAATACCTGGAGTGTAAGTTCAGTGGCGAGACTCAGGAAGGGGAAGGGGAGGTGAGGCTGGACTCGCAGGTCATCCCTAGGAAAGGAAGTTTTAAGTACCTTGGGTCTATTATTTAGGGCGATGGGGAGATTGATGAAGATGTCACACATTGTATTGGAGCGGGATGGATGAAATGGACTCCTTTTCGGTGTTTTGTGTGACAAGAAGGTGCCACCAAAACTTAAGGGTAAGTTCTACAGAGTGGTGGTCAGACTAACGATGTTGTATGGGGCTGAGTGTTGGCCAGTCAAGATCACTCATGTCCAGAAGATGAAGGTAGCAGAGATGAAGATGTTGAGATGGATGTGCGGGCACACCAAGTTAGATAGGATCAGAAATGAGGTTATTCGCGACAAGGTGAGTGTGGCCCCTATTGAGGACAAGATGCGGGAAGCGCGGCTTAGGTAGTTTGTTCATGTGAGAAGGAGGAGCACAGACGCCCCGGTGAGGAGGTGTGAGAGGTTGGCATTGGAAGGCCTACGGAGAGGTAGAGGTAGGCCAAAGAAGAGGTGGGGAGAGGTGATTAGGCAAGACATAGCGCAGCTTCAACTGATCGAGGACATGACCCTTGATAGGAAGGTATGGAGGTCGAGGATTAGGGTAGTAGAGTAGGTAGTCTAGAGTATTCATAACAGCAGTATTGACACGTAGTCTCGCTTTCTATTGGTAGTAGGTTTTTATGACTAACCGTTTCATTGTTGATCACCTTACTATCTTGTTGTTTTATTTTGCTTTTATATGGCTTTTGGTATTGTCCCTTCTTGGCTATATTTTCATTAATGTAATGCTTGTGCTTTCCTGAGCCGAAGGTCTATTTGAAACAACCTCTCTATCCTCACAAGGTAGGGGTAAGGTCTGCGTACACATACCCTCCCCAGACCCTACAGTGTGGGATAATACTGGGTATGTTGTTATATTTCTATCAATGTTGTATTATCCATATCTTAATTATAAAAATAAATTATAGTCTGATTTAATTATAAATTGTTTTTATCGGGAAGTGCCAAGTTAACAAATTGGGACAGGCTTTTTATTATAATTTAAATTACTTTTTATCTACTTTACAGTCACATTAATTATACAAAGAACTTCTAAAACAATTTGATATCAATTGAAAATGTCCTCCTTTGACTTGTTCAAACAAACAAAGGGTGACATCTTAACTCATCAAACCTTGAAAATTATTCTCGTTCCCTACTTTAGATGTTCTCTTTTCAAACATCAATTAATTAATAAGGAATGAACAGATAGGAACCAAGAAGTTTTTAAGAAAAAAAACAAAAAAAGAGATGATAATATGCTTCTAACGATATCAAAGCAGATAGAGGTTTTAGGTGCGAGTCTCACGATCACACATTAACGAGAAGACTTTAACTTATAAAGAAATAAATTCGAGTTTGAGGGACATGAAATGATAATACACTTCAACACGAAGTAATTCACTATAAGGTGACGTGAAATGATAACACACTTCAACACAGAGTAATTAATTCTTGCACTTTATAAAAGTTAAATAATCTTTTTATGACTTGAGAGGTGATTATGAATTAATATTTAGCCTTTACTTTCCGGCCAACTTTGAAAATTCTTGTCATAACTTTCAGATTCTTCAAAGATCAATCTTCTACTGGCATACGTCTTTGATGGCCACAAATTACCTTTTTTTTTCCTTCTTTTTGTTAGAATAGTCAAAAAGAAGGAAACACCCTCTTGCAGGGTAGGGCTGGACTACCTGATTTTTAGGCGCTTTTTGCTGCTGTGTTCGTGAATGCAGCAGCGCGAATACACTACCGTAACAACTGAATAATAGCTATAGGAAGTAATTATGTATATAGTAGCTATAGAAAATTAATAGCCAAAAAAATAATACAATGCCTTGAAGCTTTTGCTGTTTTTCAACGTAACTTTATTATTTCATCATAGTATATAGGTTTAAAATAATATTAGTGGTTCATCTTTGAAGCCAACATCCTATTCTATATCAAGTAATTTGTAACATCATGTTTGTTCTGTATTTCAATTCTTTGAACTTTGTCTTGTCACTTTCTTCTTCTCCTTGTCCCACATAAAGTTGAATTTTTAACCTCTAATCAATTATCTTATAAAATCTCTAAGATTTTGACCATCTCTACTTCCATAATTCATACACGTTATTTTTGAGGTCTTCAAGATTTGAGAGTTTTATCTTATTTTTGTTCAATCATTCGATAATCAAAACTCGTTGCTCGAATAATCTAAATTCTTGTGGGTTAACCCATCAAAGGAGTTAAACGCTCCCTACCATGAAGTTCTCTGCTCTTATGGCTCGGACTTGAGACTTCTGAGTAAGGATGGCTGGATTGAGAACGCTATATATATCAAATTACATAACATTTACTTTATATATATATATAATTACAGAAATCTTACCTCCTATAGCAAAGGTATACACCCTATTTATAATAAACCAAAATTATTTTAAAATATTATTTTCTATAGCTACCTTTTATATTTTATAGCAAAATAAGTATTTATGGTATATACTACCATTGAGGCATGAAATGCGTTATTTATGTTTTCTTCTCTTTTAGACAGCTGGACATACCTATTTTTAAGGTGATTGTTGTCATTGTATTAATGAATACATGACGCTAATACATGCGCGTACAGCTGGACTGCCTGATTTTTAAGCGCTTTTTGCTGTTGTATTCATGAATGCAGCAGCGCGAATACAGCGAATACACTACCGTAACAACTGAATGGTAGCTATAGGAAGTAATTATGTATATGATAGCTATAGGAAGTTAATAGCGACTAAACAATAGTGGTTTTTGAAGATTCCTCTATATTATTTTATGTCCTAATAAAGCAAATTGGAATGGATGATAATGTTAAAAAGAAAAAAACTAATTTCCACGAAATATTTTATTATATGCCGTGTTAAATTTCACGTGAAATAACACTAGTAAATTTATACAACTTAGATATCAATAGTATCTTCATTTCAGCAGCAATCCCTACATGCTAATTAACACTACTTTACATGAAATGATATGAATAATAACATGGTACACATATATATTATTTTAATCACTTATTTTAACACTACCTCTCTTCATATTTTTTTCCTCTCTATTTTTGAAATTTATTTGCATAATTGAGAGAGAAAAACACTGGCTGTTTCAGTAAGTTCAGCTCTTTTTCTCTTCCTTTCCATTTCTTCTTGAACTTCTAACCTTACTCCAAATAGCATTGGCCTCTCATCTTGTTGCTTTTTTTCTTCTTTCTCTGGGTTTTTAGCAAAAATGGTGACTATATCAATTAATTCTTTGCACTTGTTTTTCATTACTGAAAGCTCTGAGCTAAGGACTCCATTCTCCATCTTGAGTCTTTTATTTTCATCCACAAGAATTGTAAGTTCAGATGATGATGATGTTGATGACGATGACCTTTGATCTTCTTCTGTTTCTTTCTTGTTACTGTTCGCACATTGACTCTGTCCGTTATTATTGTTGTTGTTATTGTTGTTGTTTGCTTGGTGTCTGTTTGTCCACGCTTTTCTACGACGAATATCACATAGTAAATCCCTTTCTCCCTTTCTAAACTTGTCATTACTGAACTCCCACCGGCTTGTTGCTATTTTACGGAAACCCTAATATCATACAAAAAATTGATGATCGAAATAAATTTCAAGAATATTATATATATATATATATATATATATATATATATATATATATATATATATATATATATATATATATATATATATTCAATGGAAAATAAACATATATATGGTTCAAAATGTAGAAAACGTTATCATACGTAACTTGTCTCAAACTTAAAAAAAAAAAAAAAATAGTCGGGATCCAGGAAAGGTCGGACCACAAGGCTCTATTATACGCNGTTCGGGCCCCATAATTGTCCACGCTCCAGATGTCCGGTCCTGGGCGTGAGAGGGGGTGTTGAGCCCACATCGACAATGAAGGGGATGGGTGGTCTCCTTATATGGACTTGGTCAATCCTCACCTCTTGAGCTAGCTTTTGGGGTTGAGTTAGGCCCAAAGTCTATTTAACATTGTTATAGAACAACTCCCTAAGCTTATGGTTTAAACGTGAAACAGGTAAATACCTGAGAGTATGTCTCTGGGCCAAAATCAGAAGGCCAACCATTTTCTGATTGGTCATAATCCAGTGGCTCAGAGACATCAAAGAACTCATCTGCCGCATCGTTTAAACCCATCAAGCTTGAAGGCGTTTTAACTACTTCTTCCTCCAGATCTGCCAAATTCTTTCCATTTTCTAACCGGGTTTGCACTTCAAGCTTAATTTCTTCTTCAACTTGACGCAGTCTTTTACTTTTGACCAGCTCCCCTGACACATCAGAGGGCAAGTAATTTCCTATTTTTGCACTGAAAAGCTCCCTCAAAGCTACAAAATGCAGTGGAAAATAGTTTAGTTGAGTCTGGTAAACAGTCATAGAATACAAACTTGGACAAATCAACTAATGAACTTGACAGAACTAGAAATCACATAGAAAGCACACCAGCAAGTCTCCCTAGCATGCGTATTGTTATAGATCTGGCTGCAGATGTTCGTACATATGACTTCCAGAATTTCCAGTCAATAGCAAGCATATGCTTAACTACTGACCTCTTCTCTTGATTAACTGGTGATATCACATATCCTCCACCTGCATGGATTTAGGGGATGCCAATTTGTAAGAGTCCCAATTGAATGGCAAAGTACATCCAAAACATGCAGATCTGTTATTCTTGTGCATAAAATGGTGGTAAAAGCATATGGCTGATTCAATGTAACGACAAATCTATGTCAACATGCATAATGTACTAGTAAATCTGGCATTCAAGCACATAAGTAATTTCTCATTTTGTAGTTCATCCATGATCCAAATAAACAACTGGTTCATAACAGCAATAATGAAGAACCAGCTCTACATTACAGGCATACATTACTTTTAAGGCAGGCACGAATGTAGCCCTTTTGAGGTGTACACTTCTGGTGAAACACTGAATGGTACAGAATAACTGCAAGAAAGAAACGATAGGTTATGGTGGATCGAGCTCTCTAAGAAGCAGCTATAGAGAAATCCTCAATAGAGTTAGTACCATAGGTTCCATCATCCTCCCTTCTCCAATAACGCTGCAAAAGAAGATCTCTTCTTCCCATACCCCTGCGATGTCTTATGTCAATTATAACCCTAACAGAGGAGCAACAAACTATTTCCAGAGTTGAAACATGAACCATACCAAGGTAGCCAATCCCGATTTAGAAGCTTATGAACTATATCAGTGTGACCGTCAAGATGTTCAATCACACTGCCTTTGTAGAAACAGAAATCCCACCTGCAACATAAAATAAAATATCTTTAGGTCACAACATAAGAGAATCAACAAGATGAGAAGTATACCGCTGCAGTTTAATAAGCTTGCAGATGACAAATTGTAAAAGGCTATTTCTTGTCCATTTCTTTACACATAGAGGCCATATAAGCTGCCTTTAAGAAATCTTTTTGGAATAGTGTACTTTGTGACAATTATAAACAGTCATTCAATACCCTCTTTTGTTGTTTAAACTTGAACATATTATCTAGGGCTTTTATCCCTTGAAAACTAAGAAGATGCATCAGTTTCTTTGGTTCTTCTCTCCTCACAACTATCTATGTCAATCTCCAATCCCCAATTCAAAAAGCAGTGCTTTCTTCAACATGATTTGAGCCTATAACGGTTTCCTCAGACAATGGGAAGTTGAATAACATATACTGTGTTTATGAATACTATTCTTGGACATTTGCAGTTAAGTGAAAAACTTCTATTTCTTGATTCAGTTACTTGCGTACTTGGTGTTAAATGTATAGTAGTATCAGTACATAAATAGATTCTGATTGTCAATAGTTTTAATCGCCAAAGTTTAAACAAATTGCTTTCAGATTACTTGGATCATACAGACAAAATTTGTTTATTCATTCTTAAACATTTAGCTGTACCAGCTTTTAACTTTACCCAAACATTATTACTCAATTGTTGATTCATGTAATCGCAACCTCATATTACAGTTCCCAAGTTGCGTCCTGAATAAAAAATTATGGCAAAAACTCATTTTTGCACAAGTTGAATCCTGATTAACAATCACGGGGAAAAATCATTCGAAGTGCAGAAGACATGGGTGACCGGCTAAAATGTATCTGCCTACTAGCACCTGTTTTATAAATTACTTTAGTCAAATCTTAATCAAATTTCTGCATACAGATAAAAAATTTACTAGCAGTGAGTTCTTCACTATAAAAATGCTTAAAAGTACTGTGATTTTTGCTATGGACTTCTCTTTTTATTTTTTTGGGGATAAAATACTTTTGCCATGGATTTCGCAGCGACTTACTCCGATCTTGAAGGACCAAGTGACATGAGTGTCTGAAAAATGGCCTCTGAAGTTCCATCAACTACACCAACAGCCATTATAGCGGGGTGATCATCCCACTGCAAAGCATAGAACAAGTTCAGCAGCATTAGTTTCATATACTTACCGCCACAGCCCACAGGAGCTGGAGAATATCAACTTACCTTTCCAAGAGATTCCCTATCTTTAGCTTCCTTAAACAGCCTAAGACCTGCATACCCAAGTGATTCAGGTCAACAAAAGGAGAGGAGATATACCACTTTACAACTAAGTTGCATATACTTCATAAATTTACATTAAATAGTTCCAAAAGATGTGGATTGGTCTACGAAGTAGGGATTAGAAAGGTTATTCCCGCCATCCTCAAACACAACTGTAAATCAAAACCTACCATTCTGACACCCAAAGATTGTCCAAGGCGAGGGTGCAACAACATCAGACGTCATAGCATCTGTAACTGAGGATGAACAGACAGTCCAATCAATCGAATTCAGACGATAAGACTTGTTGGAACAATTTAACCTGCGAGCAAAACAAAACCGTAAAGGAAATAGTAATAATGATAACTACAGTCCTATGATGGAGGCTTAATTGAAACTCGATTTTAAACAATGAGAAAATTAACCAGCGACTGTCCCTGTAAGTAACTTATATTCCTCTGTTCCATTTTATATGGCACTCTTTCCTTTTTGATTCGTTCCAAAAAGATTTACACCTTTCGATATTCAGAAACTCCTTAATTTTAAATTTTCCAATGGTTTTATAGCCATAAATGTCATGGCATGTTTAAATTAAGGGTACTTTCTTTTTATAGTGGTACTTTTGGTATGTGCCATAGTTCTTTATTTGTTTCTTAAACTCCATGCTCCATCATACAGCCAAGTAAAATGCAACGGAGTGAATAACTTAAATGCTATATCCTGAGCAAAGAAAAAGGGTAATGCACCAACTAAATATACCTCAAAGTGTGTGAATCACTCCTTGGAAAATCCACTTGATTTCCTCTGTTCATGTCTGCCTAGATTTACTCATTATTGTCAGTTGCCAACGAGAGACAATAAAACAGCTCAAATTGACCAGTCTGTACCTTTAAAGCTGCTTCCTGAAATGCCTGGATCCACCTTGCAGCTTCCTCAGGACTGCTTGCTCCCAACTGTTGTTCATAAATATCATTTATTCACCAACAGCCCATAAAAATAAAAACTGAAAGGAGGGGGATGATTTCCGTACCTTCAGCTGATCGTTATGATTTGAGGTGTTATAAAGCGTGAAAATGAAAAAGACCTGGAAAATGTAGAAGCAAAATTCAGCAGAAAGTCTCAGTAAGGAAACAAATGAATTTAATCAGAATAATATAGCGAGAGCAAATATTGTCTCTGCCATGAAGTGAAACTGGGGTGAAGATACATACTTTTCTTTGAATGCTCTCTCTGCCATTGTCTGTTACGCGAATGCAGGAATCAATAACTGCACTTCTAATAGGATCCTAACAAAAGAGCCAAGATGACGTATTGCAATGAGTCCTGGTAATATGGCAAATGTGTAATTCCAAGAAGTGAAAGGCAGAAGAACTTCACAACAGACATATCTCCCACTTATGCCCTCAGAAACCTTTAATATCAGAATCTATCACTAACTGTTACAACAACACCAACAACAACAACATACCCAGTGTAATCCCACAAGTGGGGTCTGGGGAGGGTAGTGCGTACGCAGCCTTACCCCTAACTTGCGAATGTAGAGAGGCTGTTTCCGATAGACCCTCAGCACAACCAAGGCACAGACATAGCAGTGTTTACAAGAAGTGCAATACTGAACAAGCCATACAAGAAACAGTACCACCAGCAAGATATTAAAATAACTGGAGCAAAAGAAATAGCATGTAGTAATAAAAGTCTAAGGATGGGAAAAATACGGGAATAATACTAAAACTATTGGTCTGGCGAAAAGATACGCTCGACTACCTGCTAACCCTCTACCCTAATTCTCGACCTTCACACCCTCCTATCAAGGGTCATGTCCTCGGTAAGCTGCAGGTGTTCCATGTCCTGCCTTATCACTTTTCCCCAACAGGGGCGGAGCTAGAGTGCCGGGAGCGGGTTCGGCTGAACCCAGTAACTTTGGTTCGAACCCTGTATTTGTCTTAACAAAATCTATTGAATATATATAAATTATTAATTTAGAGTCCAGTAACTTAAATGATTAGAATTTCAAACTCATAAGTTTGAAATCCTGGCTCCGCCTCTGTTCCCCAATACTTTTTGGCCTACCCTATCTCTTCTCAGACCTACTATTGCCAACCTCTCACACCTTCTCACTGGGGCATCAAGGCATCTCCTCTTCACATGCCCGAACCATCTCAGCCTCGCTTCGCGCATCTTGTCCACCACGGGAGCCACTCCCACCTTGTCCCAAAATATCTTCATTCCTAATCTTATCCCTCCTAGTATACCCACATATCTATCTCAGCATCCTCATTTCTGCTACTTTCAACTTCTGGGCATGAGAGCTCTTAACCGGACAATACTCCACCCAATACAACATAGTCGGCCTAACAACCACTCTCACTAACAGTTAGATATCAAATAAAACACACATGAATAAGAGTCTACTGCTTGAAATACGACAATGCCACAAATGACGCAACCAGTTCACACCAACTACCAAATATCTCCCAATCAATAAGAAGTCAGACGCTAATCAACGTGTGAAGTGCATACCAACATTCTCGACTCCATAGGAGTTCAGTGATGACTAGTGAATGGATACACTTACTGAGCAAGATATATGTGCAGTTGAGCCCGTGGTATCTTCAACACATGCATTAGGTAGATATTCGACCATAGTAACTAGACTTTTGGGCTCCAAAAATATTAGTACTTTCAGCTCATAGGCTGCAGGAATTTGCTAAGTAAAGTGATCACTCAGGAAACGGTATCCAACAAGAGGATTTGCTGGCAATCAAGAGGAAGTATTTGAAAGAGAGGAAACCAATAGGATGAATATCAGCATGGATCAACATAAAATGCAATAGTTTCCCTAAAATCCTCTTTCTTTGATCACAAAGTAAAATGTTAGCACTGTAATATGTATCACTCCTAAGAAACTAAATCCTGAGAATTCCAAACAACGATCGCATCCAAGGGTGTGGCCTAGCAGTCAATGAAGTGGGAGGAGAACTATGAGGTCTGAGGTTCAAATCCCAGAGGTAAAAAATACTAGGTGATATCTTCCAATCTGCCCAAGTCTTGGTGAGCAGAGTTACCCGGTACCTACAGATACCGGTGGAATAGCCGAGGTGGACGCAACCTGGTCTGGACACCACAGTCATAAAAAAAAGAATTCCAAACAACAAACGTATGCAGAATATGGACAAAAACTAGGATATGCAATTAGGGGCATAGTATCCACAAATCACAAGTCATAAATTCATGCTGAGCAATTCAGAAATTAGCATCAGGATTTTCATAGTTAGTTTATAACATCCTTTACTATACAAGCCTACTCCAGCTTCACGCAAGTCCTTTGGCAAACGAAGTGAATAAACTATATCTTCTGAGTTAAACCACCAATTAAACTGAAATATAGTCTCCCACTTTCCACACAACTAGCAACATAGAAAAATTGTAAAATTGCTAATATTAGTACATCAAACAAAATCAACTCATTGTCATCGGTACAAACGACATAATTCCTAAATCACAAATTATCACTTCCCCAACAAGAAATAAAGTACTAACATGTACATCTACCAACAAACACTTAGCATTTGTTAAATTAGTTCGAAGTACACGCAAACTGGCCATAAAACACCGTCATTACAAAATATTGAAATATATGAACACAGAGAATATAATTAGACCTCGTTACTGGAAACTGGTGTAGATTTGTAGCTCTGAAGAAAATGGTCTTGAAGAATAAAGTATCGTTTTCGTGAGTACTGAAGTCCAAACCGATTTGAACGAACCAGATATAACCACCCTTCCATTCTACTACTATCCTTCTCCGAAATACCCATTGGAAAAATCAAATTTATCAAATGACCCAACACTCTGTAATTCAGTTTTTAACCAAATTATGCACAACCTTTACAGAAACAGAACCAAAAATGTAAGAATTAAACTCTGATCCCCAAAGAAAAGGTTTCAATGGGAATCAGAGATGACTGTTACTCTGTGATTGTGTCTTTGCTGGTAGAGAGAGAGAGACTTTTTTGTTTTTCTGGTTTTTGCTTTTCTGTGTGTGTGTAAATGGTGGGTGTAATTTACTTTTGTTATGAAGAAAATATAAAAGCAACAGAAATTGTTGATACGTGAGAGACAAAAGTTTGGCTGGCAAGTGATGTAAAAGCTTTGTTTTGACTCTTTTACCCTTTTGGTTGAGAAAAGTCTTGATTGGTAGTTACGGCAAAAACCAATCTGGAAAGTTACATATTGAAGTAAGCACTCATTTTGATTGACTCTGGTTGGATGATATTTAATGTAGTATTTAATTTAAAAGACACCTATTACACATTTTTTAATCCCGCGTTGCGCGTGTACCCATTTCAACGAATATAAGGATATAAAAATATAAAAAGTTATATGAATAACATTATTAAATAATATATTTGTATTATAAAATAAAATAAAAATTCAAAGTAGTTAATGTTGATCCTATTAATTAGTTAGCTCAACAATAAATAAATCATGTCCCGCAAAAGTCATCGGTTGCTTAATAATTATTTTGATGTATTATATTCAAAGTCATCAAGATAAATAAAAATGTTTATGTTTGTTTGATATTGTTTAACTTAAATATTTCAATATTGTCTTAGTATAAATTTAATAATGTTTCATTCATAATTTATTCAAGTTTTAATTAAGTAATATTTCGATTCCCTAATATAAATCGTATTAAGGTTCATTTTAAAAAACAAATAAGGAAAAGTAACGTGGAAAACTCCTAAATATTAGGATTGGGCAAAAGTACCATAAAATAAATTATATGATTACGTTTGATATATCAAATAAGGATTGAGACCTCATTTGTTTTTATAAGATTAAGATATCTGAATCTGAATACACATCTGAATATGAAGATGTGTATGAAGATCTGAATACTAAATAATTAAGACTGTTTGACTTTTAACATCTGAATGTATAATTTTTTTCTTTATTTAAAAATTAATAAACATAAAATTCAAGTGAAATACTAATTAATATAATATTCTATCGATAAAATATATAGTGTTTTAAAATATGGTAGTTGCTAGTGGTGATGGCTAACGATGGTGCTTGTGAATGCCAACTTGAGGCGGGTGGTTGGTGATAATTGTGGTTGACGGTGGTGGTTCAGGGAAGTAACTAGTGGTGATTTGTAGTGGTGACCATTATTATTGAGGAGCGTGATGGTGGGTGGTGATAGTTAATAATGAGAGGTAGTGGTAGTAGTTGTGATTGAGGAAGGTGGTAGTGGGTGGTGGTAGTTTATAATGATGGGCAGTGCCAGCTATGGTTGTTGATGGTGATGGGGTGGTTAGTTGTGGTAGTTGAGGTGGAAGGGTGTTGGTTGTGATTGAGAATGATGGTGGTAGGAGTGGTGGAAATGGCGGGTGGTGGTAGTCGATAATGGTGGCGGCTATGATTGAGGATGATGGTGGTGGTGGTGGTTGAGTATGGTTGTGGTGGGTGGTATAGTAGTAGTTGATAATGGTAGGCGGTGGCGGCAGTTAGTAATGAATGTGAATGATAGCCTTTTAATGAAATTAAGTCTTTGTTATAGATCTTAATCATATAGACCATTCAGACCCATCAAGTGTTGTGAAGTTACAAAAATAAATACACTTAATTGTTAGGATCTGAATAATTAGGATTCAAACTTTGAAAACAAACACACTTAATGTCTGAGGTCTAAATGATTAAGATTCAAACCTCCATTAAGTGCAAACAAATGAGGCCTGAATCTATGATAGAATTATTATTGATTTTATGTCTTAAATATTGTATGATTTTTTACCTAGTTCAAGTAAAAAATATTTATAACCTAAATTTATTTGATTCGAAATACTAAATATTAGGAGCATACTTAAAATTACAATTTTGTCTAGTGAGAACTCTATTCTTAAAGGGTAAAAAAACGAACGACATTTCGTTGAGGGCCTTCGTGCTTTTAATATAGTATATAGATATAGATAGATAAACGGGTATTATCTCAAATAATCAGGGGCGGATCTTTTAGGGCAATATATGAGCCGCGTGAACTGATAGTCTTTATGTTAAATTAGGTATATTATATAAATACTTTTAAAAATTGATCTAATATTTGTTAGCAGTTATGCTCGAAAGAGGCTAAGGCCTCATTTGTTTGCACTTAACGGAGGTATGAATCTTAATTATTCAGATTTCAAACATTAAGTACGTTTGTTTTTAAAATCGAAATCTTAATCATTCAGATTTTAATCATTAAGTAGTGGTCTTAATGGGTGTGTATGATTAAGATCTATAACAATGATTTAATTTTATTCAGATGCTATCATCCACATTCATTATTAATTGTCACCACCACCTACCATTATCAACTATTACCATACCACCCACTACCACCATACTCAACCACCACCACCTCCTCAATCATAACCACCACCAAGAATCTTCACTACCCCCACTACCATTATTCTCAGCCATAACCACAAACTCATTTACCTCAACTACCACAACTAACCACCCCATCACCATCAACAACTATAGCCGGCACTGCCCACCATTATAAACTACTACCACCATCCTCAATCACAAACCACAACCACCACCACCCACCATTATTAATTATTACTATCTACCACCACCATTCTCAACCATAATCACCATCACTGCCAATTACCACTAGCTAATACTCAGAACCACCACCAACGACCGCCTCTAGTCGGTATTCACAAACACCACCACCAACTACCATATTTTACAAAATATACATTTTATTGATATAATATTAGATTAATTAGTATTTTGTTTGTATTTTGTATTAATTAATTTTCAATTTAAGATAAATTTTATACATTCAGATATTAAAAACAAACAGCCTTAATCATTTAGTATTCATATCTTAATACACACCTTAATATTCAGGTGTGTATTCAGATTCAGACGTCTTAATATTAAAAAACAAATAAGGCCTAAATGGTGCACTTGGTTGAATTTTGGGTTATTTACAGGAGGGATCAATTTCCACTTAATAGTGTACCTATGTTATAAAAATCTTAGATTCGACTCTACAAATAATAATTAAAAAAAGGCAGCCCGATGCACTAAGCTCCCGCTATGTACAGGGTCCGGTAAAGGGCCGGACCACAAGGATCTATTATATGCAGTCTTACCCTGCATTTCTGCAAGAGGCTGCTTCCACGCTTGAACCAGTGACCTCCTAGTTACATAGCATCAATATTACCAGTTATGGGAAGGCTCCCCTTCACCAATAATAATAAAAATAATAATTTAAATTTCTTAATAAAAATAATAATTTAAATTTCTTATTGTTATTGTAATTGGCCTGGGCCGAGGGTCTATCGAAAACAGTCTATCTACCAACACAAGGTAAATATAAGTTTTGCGTATATATTATCCTCCCCGGATTCCACTTATTGCAATTTTACTGGATTTTTTATTATTGTTATTATTGTTTATTATTATAATTGTTATTATTGCTGTGAACTTTCTCAAATTATAGGTGGAATAGGTGCCTTTTAAATTAAAATTTTACCACAGGTCTGTAGATTTAAATATTTGCATCCCAAAAGTGTACTCAAAAGCTCTTAATTTACAAAGTAATTCCAGTTGCTAGCAATATTAATCACTATGGTAGACATAAGACGAAAACAAAATTAATGGAAGGGAAATATTATTGCTTCATCTTTCTCTCAAATTTATTTTTAACGAATATAGAATAACAATCATGACTCATGATTGAAAAATAGCTTTATTTATTCATTAACGAGTATATTGTATTTTGGTACCTACTTTAAGAGTTGTACATTCTTTGTCTTACTTTTTATACTATCTTATATTATAATTTTTTTTTTCTTTTCGTACCGTTTTCCCAATAAAAATTAATATCGGGAACGCCCAACCAACTCCCAACATGCATTAATTTAGTTTTTATCTTATATTTCTGTTTTATAAGTAAACAAATTAGAAAATGTCATTCATTTGAAAGAAACTAACTACTGGCCTTTCACATTTTTTTAACACACCTACGATGACACAAGGGCCCCGGAGGTAATTTACACCCTTGAGGTTAAGTTAGATATTCTTACATCCTCTTCTTTCTTAGTCCTTTTTTCCCTTTAAATATCATTTAGAGATATATAAAAAAAAAGTAGTCGGATGCGCAACGCATTTCATATTCACGCAGGATTAAAGAAGGATCGAACCTTAAGAGTCCGATATAAACAGCATACTGTACTATAAGTATTAGTGGTTGTTTATACGTTTCGAACTCGTGACATATAAATCATACGGAAATAAAATAAATGTATAATGAAATAAAACTCTTGGTGGTCCAAAGGTGGCTATGCAAAACTCATTGAGTCAAGTCGCCAATTAGATTTTAGTGAAAATAATCGTAAATTAGCATTTAAAAAAATCAAAATTTTTAAAGTGCCATCATAAAAGAGAAAACAACATATGTGAAGATACAATAATAGATTTAACTAGAAATTTTGGATTCGAGCCTTAAAAAAAAAATTAGTAGGGAGCACATACCCCTTAAATGTCTTACGCAATGTGAATTTAGATTAATCGGACTCCAATATCAAGACATTGAATGATAAATAAAAATAAAAAGAATTTTTATTTTATTTTTGACAAAAAAAAGAGAACCTCACTCCTATAGATTATTATTAATTTTTTTTAAATTATAAAAAGAGAACTCTTTATCACACCTAAAAAGGGAAAAAGGAGAGAACCTCTTTATGACTCCAATTTCATCCTTTTCACAACCCTACCACCCTTCTATTTCTATCTTTTTGAACGACCAATGTAGTATGTGTTCGTTTCTTTTCCTTACAAGACGCTAAGGAAAAAAAATGTGGGATAACGACTTGAAGTTGACTCCTTTGAATATGTAGTAGCAAAATTCCATTGATTTTTAACATTTATTATATGAAATGATGATGATGAATAGTTTCATTCAAGCGCGTTGATACGGCACTTTCAAATAAGGCTGTATGGTGGGCCGGTCTGGGACCAGGACCGGACCGGGCCCGCGGTCTTAACGGGCTAAACGGTCCCGACG